TGGTTAACACATGCTTAAGGGATTTTCAAGTTTTGTTCTGAAAATATAAAATACATCCCCGTGTGTCATAAAAATGGTGGTTAACTAACAAGTGACTTAATGAACTAGGACACGTCATCACGCCGAGTATGCTTTCAGGTACACAGTGATAACGCGCAGTCATGTGACCTCGATGTAGTTCATTTATGGTCTAGCATTAGCTTTTTATTTCTGCCGATTGCGTTTACTCCATAAAAAACATAAAGCAGTGTTAATATGTGGAGATTTTCCTTCTGAACAAGACGTGTTAAGTTTCATAAATGTGTTTTTGCAACAACACTATTTTTCTACAAATAACAAAATCCAATCAGGAAATGTAATTGCTTATTGTCGAAGGAGCCTTTGTGATGCTAACTTCCGGGTCGGAATACAAAAATACGTCATCACTGCACCACTCGATCTCGATATTTACTACACATCTGAAAAGTTTTTGTGATTGCATCCTACACCGTTGCAAAATCTGTCCACAGAAATATTAACTCCTGACAAAGTACTCAAAACCTATTAGCTAGTGGAGCAAAGTAGAGATCTTTAGGAGCACATTTTTCCATGCTGACATGCACATACTTGAGCTGAAAACAATAGCAGACACACACTGTTGCAGCTGGAAACAGTATATTTAAAATTCTCCAGTGAGATCTCTTCTCAGAAACAATGTCCTATTACTTCCTGATAAACTGCAGACCTCGCTGACAGCTAAGTGTTTCTTTAATGGAAAGTAGTTCCAGCGATGTCTGTGGATTATCCAGAGTAACAGGGACACTGTCTGGAAAAACACATTACTGGGGAATATATATATATTTTTTAAACCTGCAGAAAGTAAGCTCTGTGGAAGACAAAGGATTATGACACAAGTTTTGTTCAGCAAGAAATCTATTCGCAAACAATCACTATTTCTCGTAAGGGATAATGTGCCAAGGTGATGCCTTTATGTTGATGCAAGATCCCTTCGCTTTGCTTCAGGATCATTTTTCACTAATGACCTCCTTGGTGCACATTATCCCGGATACCTACTAAATAAACCAATAAACCAACAACTTGATTGACAATATTGATACAAAAAATGTATTTAATTGATTTATAAATGATCGTATTGCTTCCGCTAAGAAAAACAGAGTCCTTCCACTGCATACCAACCTCCTTCCTTCTGTTGGGCTCTTTACATGGGACAGTTTAGCCTTCATGAATCCAAAGAGTCGTGCTCTCCACAAATATAAAAGTGAATATCCAAAAAGTATTCCATGGTGTTTTCTGACGGAGAAAATTAATGTTTGTTGTCCACAGCTGATGTCAAATGTATCGGACTTCTTTCTGCACATCGATATGACTGCACAAAGTCACTTGATCATCCTTAGCAACGATCTGTTCTCCTTAGCAGCAGCCTGATGACGAGAATTAACCTCTGAAATGTCCAAATTGACCAATCAGAATGAGTATTCAACTAAGCTGTTTAATAAGGAACCACATTATGTCACCAATGTGATTGAAACTTCTGGAGCAATGGAGACGAAACTCAGAGAGACACAGGGAGAGCTGGAGCTTGGTTGAAAAACACTGATGGTTTATTATGAAGTTAAGGCCGGAGAATTCACCAGACATGATGACAAAGCGGTTGCCAAACCAATTCTGAAGATCTCTACCCCAGACCCATGTATTTAGCTAGCTCTGAGATAATAATCAACATTGTGCTTAACAAGATAAAACGGGCAAAGCACTATACCACCTCTATCAGCTGACGACAACAGGTAGGAATAAGGACACAAAACACTGAGAGCACAGCAGCCAAGGTCGCAGGCCTGAGCTCACTGAGGGCAGTACAAACTGATAAACTGAACTAAAGTTATGGGCCTAGGAACATATTTCCCTAACAGCCAATACTGAGTAGATGATTTACCTAGAGATGGGCTTATTGCTATAACCTCTCTTTTATTTGGTCTTCCAGTGAGCTGCTAACACCCACCTTTTTAAGGCGGCTAAAAGCTTCAATATTTACTGACATCACTTGGCATTAGAATTTCTTGAGCTTGTATTGACCACACGACTTATTTCAGGCATCTAAGCAAGACGAGATGAGGGAACCTGTTAAGAAATGCTGACCCACCTCTTTGGTTTATGATTGTTATGACTATAGTACAGAAAGAAACTATTAGAGCTATTATTTTCACTCGTAGTAAAAAGATAATTGTGAAAATATATTTGTATGGTCTGTAAAGCAGACAGGTGGTAGTACGCAACAGACTAAAGATAACTAATGTTCCTGACATGCATTATTGCAGGTTGAACTCCAGCTCTTTCGAATGCCACTGTCCTTCTTTGTCCCCCTCCACTGTACACCCATCATAAAAATAATCCTAAAAAGACATCTGAGCCTAGGCGATAAAGTTCCAGCATAGCAACTGTTATTGCTGTTGTTGTTGGCTGCTACGTGCTTCAGGAGGAGGCGTGCATGAATGTCTCCATTACAGTTGTTCTGCATGCTGACAGCCTTCAGCCATCACAGCCACCTGGCACGTCTCCACGCCCACGAGCACTAGTGGGCGGAAGCGGCATGTCTCCGACCGTAACCAGACCCAGCTCGACGAGCGGGACATTAACAGCTGCTCAGCAGGGTGTAAGAGAGGGGGCAGCAGGAGCATTTCTGTGTGTGTTGAGAGCACATGCCCACATGTGTCCAGCTCGGACGAAGGAGAGGTTGGCGGATTCACAGTTGACATCTTAATTGGCCGCCTGTGCCAGATGCCAGCTTCTTAAGCCGACCAGTCCAGTGTCTCAGCAGAAGCCAGACTCCAGCAAGGGCTCCAGCGAGGGCTCCCACGGGTATTAGGTGCTCCAGCCTCCCTTCCTCTCACACACACTCACATACACACACTCTTTTTCTTCTCCCTCCATCCTCTCCGAGTCATTGTCAACACCAGTCTCTCTGAGGCGAATTCAGACGTAGAAAAGCCTGTGGGTAACAAAGGCCTGGGTGTCTTTGTGCGGGATCTATTCAAAACCAGGTCTGGCTTTCCTGCCATTTCATCTATGTTTGGATTGAGATCCCTCCGCCCCCCTCATTTATAGTGTATTGTTGTCCTGTTAATGTCCAGTCAGCGATCAAATAACTGTAGCCTTACCGTCTAACTACCAACCCATGACCCTCACCTCCTCACCCTTTCACTCTCGTAACATGACGCTTTTCCCAGAAGAGGAAACAAGGTTGGATACATCTATTCAAGTGAAGCACAGGAACGTACTTGGCAAAATGATGGCACACTTATTGATTTTTTCGTTTGGCCCTGAAGAGTTTAAAAGGTAAAGTCACTTATTTGAAGAGGACATATCATACTCATTTCCAGGTTCATATTTGTATTTAGTTCCTCTAGAGCAGGGGTGTCCAAAGTACGGCCCGCGGGCCAACTGCGGCCCGGGATCCATTTTTTATTGGCCCGCAGCAAATTATAAAAATAGAATAGAATGTGGCCCACACATGAAACTTGCACTTGACTCTATTGTAGTTCTTAGTTTGACCAGTAGGTGGAGCTACTCACTAGCTGCAGTCCTAATGCAGCTTCTCCACAAAAAAAAGTTTCAAATAAAAAAAATCCGCGACGACAAAATGGCAGAACCAAAGAAACGCAAGATAGCAAGTGAATGCAGAAAATTTCAAACACAGTGGGAAAATGAATATTTCTTCAAAGAAGTCAGGGGGAAATGTGTCTGTTTGATTTGCAATGAAACGGTTGCAGTGATGAAAGAGTACAATGTACGAGGACACTACGAAACCAAGCATCCGACCTTCACGTCCTACACTGCTGCTGAGCGAGAGGAGAAAGTCAAGCAAATGGTAGCTAACCTGCAGGCTCAACAACAGTACTTTTACCGTGCTAACAAAACACAAGAAAATGCTACAATAGCTAGCTATGAGGTAGCTCAACTCATAGCGCGCCACGGGAAAGCTTTCTCAGACGGTGACTTCGTTAAACAGTGCCTCATTAAAGTCGCTGGAATAATGTGCCCGGAAAAGATGCAGGAATTCAACAACGTGAGCATGTCCAGAAACACAATTGTGCGGCGAATCGAAGACTTGTCAGCTAACATACAAAATCAAGTGTCACATAAAGCTTGTGCTTTTGATTTTTACTCGATTGCATGTGATGAAAGCACAGATGCCACAGACACCGCACAACTGTTAATTTTTTTGCGGGGAGTTGACGATAACTTTTGCATTACGGAGGAGCTGCTTGATCTTCGGAGTCTAAAGGGCACAACAACGGGTAAGGACATTTTTGAAGCCGTGTCAGGTGCAATTAACAAGATGCAACTTAAATGGGACAAGCTGTGTGGAGTTGCAACGGACGGGGCTCCCGCTATGACAGGCGAGCGCAAAGGAATGGCATCTATGGTGTGCGCCCAAGGTGCGAGAGAGTGGGAGCGCGAGCTTGTAAAAATTGCACCTGTATCATCCACCAGAAGCTCTCTGTGCCAAGACAGTCCAGCTTGCGCGATGTGATGACCACAGTTGTGAAAACTGTCAACATAATTCGAGCACGAGCGGCCTCTACCACAGAGAATTTCAAGCCTTTCCTATCTGATGTCGATGCTGAATACGGGGACGCTACTCTATCATTGTGATGTGCGCTGGCTTAGTCGCGGCTCTCCGTGCTGAAGCGGTTTTATTCCCTGAGATCAGAAATTGACCAGTTGTTGAAAGAGAAGGACCGAACCTCTTCATGAACTGAGTGATCCTCTATGGTTGGCAGACCTGCCTTTCTAGTTGATTCTTACTGGTTCATCTTAACTCACTGAACAAGAGCCTAACAAGGCAAAGACCAGCTTGTACCACAACCTTTATGCACACATGAAAGCATTCTGTGCGAAGCTTCGTCTTTTTGAGACACAACTACGCAACTTCAACCTTGCCGCACTTCCCTACGCTGTCCGAAATCAAATGTGCTCATCCAAAGGGCCGACTCTCTGCTAAAAGGGAAATATGTGTCTGTGATCACAACTCTTATGACAGAATTCAATCAGCGCTTCCAAGATTTTTCTGTCATTGAGCAAGAAAAATCAAGCTGTTTCTCACTCCCTTCCTGATGGATGCAGAAGAAGTGGAAGAGAGTCTGCAATTAGAACTCATCGAAATGCAGTGTGATGATTCTCTGAAGAATCAACATCAGCTTCCTCTCCCTACCCGACTTCTACCAGAGCTTGGAAAAAGGCCAAGTTTCCTCTGATGCGACGCCACGCAAAAAGAATGACGAGTCTGTTTGGCACAACATACATATGCGAGCAAACATTTTCTCTGTTAACTCTGAACAAAAGCCGATTGAGAACCAAAATGACCGACAGCCATCTCTGTGATGTCCTTCGCATCTCAACCACCAAACTTACTCCTGACCTGCCAGCCATCCTTCAGTCCAGAGCGCAGCATCACTGCTCCCATTAAGTGCAACGCTGTTCCCATTGTAGGTGAGTTAAAATATATTACACAGTATTCATGTGTTCAAAAGCCCAATTACTTAATAAATTCAGTCAATTAAAGTTGATAACATTTTTCTAAAAAACGTTAGCTGATGTGTTAACAACCGCAATAAATTATTTGCATAACTAGGTTAAATAAAGCCTACCCTTTCCCTTGTCCTGTTATTTTTCCCTCTTTATACAGGGCTGTGAAGGGGGTCCCCATCCTGACAAAGAAGCAATCTGAGGCTGCAGTTTTGAGAATGAGCTGCCAACCCTTTTTGTAAAAAAAATTAAAACCCATACATAGAAAGATGTGATGTATAAAGTTTTTTCTTTAAGTATAATAAATTATCAAGAATAATTTACCTACATTTGATTGATTGATTTGTAAATAAAAAAATTAAAACCCATACATAGAAAGATGTGATGTATAAAGTTTTTTCTTTAAGTATAATAAATTATCAAGAATAATTTACCTACATTTGATTGATTGATTTTTATTACTGTTAATACACTAGAGGTGAGCCGATATACCTTAACTTTAGTGAGTGGCCCAAACTTTCGCATATTTTTCTGTATGTGGCCCTCAGTGAAAAAAGTTTGGACACCCCTGCTCTAGAGTCTACTGGGACATGTCTCCATGCTTAATGTTCAAAAAGCTCTTTCTTTGTCTCATACTGCCTGTGCTGCAGCACCTCTTTTCACCCTCTGTCTGAAACCAGAGCCCAGACTGCTCTGATTGGTTAGCTGGCCGGCTCTGTTGTGATTGGTCAACCACTTAAGAGATGTCCCACTCCCTGGTACTCTTTTACTTGATTCAAAGTAGCAATACAACAGTGTAAAAATACCCTGTTATGTAAAAGTCCTGCATTCAAAGTATTACTAAAGTAACAATGTTTGAGTAGCATGAAAATACACTTAAAGTACCAAAAGTACTTTTTATTTAGTTGGGCCAATTTCAGAATCGTATATATTTAAAATATATTAAATGATTGTACCTTTATTAATGCATGCAATATGTACATAACTTTTTACGTTTGCAGCTGGGTAGTTTAATATATAATACAGTTTAATTAAATCATTTATTAGTTGGTTTGTATTTTGTATTAATAAATGAAATCTGCTAAATCAGTAGTAACTAATGCAGTAAAAAAATAAAGCCGAATTAAAAGTGCAACATTTTTCCCACATAAATGAAGTGAAGTCAAAGTATATAAATGAACATAATGTGAAAAAACGTTTTACTTAAGTACGGTACTTGCGGAAATGTACTTGCTTACGCTCCACCACTGCTAAGGACCACCATTTTCTAAGCCTGCCTTCATTTGGATCTCAACTACACATTTGTGAAGATTCATTACTGCATGGATCATACATGTCAGTAACATCTTTACCCGGTGACATCCCGCCTGCGATCAAATAACTGTAGCCTTACGATCAAGCTGACCTCTGACCCTCGCCTCTTCACCCTTGACCCTGGTTACAGGACACTTTTCGCATAAAGAGAAACCAGGCTGGATATGTCAATTAGAGTCCGTCTAAAGCACAGACACATGTACTCGGCCATATGAGGGTACATTTATTTGATCTAAAAAGGGAGCGCACAGACACTTCAGTCTGCGATTAAATGAGGAGAGTGAGAGTGAAGGTAGGAGACTGATATTAAAGTGGAATTTGATTAGCTAAGAGAGGTGGTATTGCAGCGTGAAACAGGCTGCTAACAAAATGATTAACTAATATTCCTGTATGACATTATTCTTAAAACTTGGTGTGAAGAAGGAAAGGGTTTTTTATGTTTGAATCAAATGGAAATTAAAGTTTAGTCTCTCACAAAGCACTGCTACTTCTGACAAGGACGGAACAGTGTCTTTGTCAGGTTTCATTTAACTTGGAGATGTAGCAGAGATGTCAAATGGGAAACAGCTGAGTGCCATCAAAGCATATAATGTAGTTGTGCGGTGTGTCAAATGTTGACCAGTATTTAAACATGGTGGTTGCTCCTGGTATTTTTATTTACACTTAAGACTGTTTAAGTAAGTATGTCATTCTTTCTAGCACTTTTAATAGCAGCTCCAGCAAAGGGTTATTTATGTCAACTAAAAGTAAATTATAATTTTGGTAAACAAAAACTCATTGAACTTAACTAAACTGAAACCTTATTGCCTGGTAAATAATATACATTACATAAACGTACTCAAAACATACATTTATTACTTTTTGGGTTTTGCTACGATGTCTCACTACCGAAAAAAGTAGAGGGCAAAGAATGGTTTTATACATTTGTGAAATTAAAACACAGAAACTTGACATTAGAGATAGCGTTATGTTGACATTTCTTCACACAGATGCTAAATGACCATTTCTACACAGTTCTCCAACCATGTGTTTTGTATGTTAATATAGCTGAATAGGTCCAAGTAAATATATCCTACCCGAAAAAACTACTCAAATTGAATATGTAAATCTTTCCCAAATCCTAAACATTTAAAATTTAAAACTAGCAAAAGCGCTAAAGTGAGATGTTTGATTGTTGTCTTAAATCTAATACAAATATTTCTGAGGAACAAACTAGCAAAAACTAACCAAAAAACTAAATCAAAATCAAAAAGTCAGAATTTATAAAAATATGTAAACTGCTATAAGCTTGCTCCAGATATCATATTTTATTACAATAAGCAGTCCACTCTATAGTATTACATTTAACATTCTGTTTTATCTTGTTTTATTTAACATTTAAATCGTCTATAGCTCCTGGATTTTATTTGCACGATTGTGTCCCTGGCACTATTTTCTGTCTTTTTGCAATTTATGTTGCATTGTTGGAGGAGCTTGGGACTTCAGATATCCTTAGCAACATCTACGCTGTAGCTCTTGTACATTTGACCAGAAAACCTTTAAATCTGGTATTAGGAAAATCTCTGAAGGACATTTGTGCTGATTTCTTAAAGCAAAACTCACCTGTGTCCATCCTCCTCTCTCCCCTCCAGAACGAGCCATTGCCAGACACGAGGTGCGTGAGATCGAGCAGCGGCACACGCAGGACGGCGTGCGGGAGCGGGACTCTGCGGCCTCTTCGCCGTCGGAGGGCGAAGACGACCTCGTCATCATCTACAACCGCGTGCCCAAGACGGCCAGCACATCCTTCACCAACATCGCCTACGACCTGTGTGGGAAGAACCACTACCACGTCCTGCACATCAACACCACCAAGAACAACCCTGTCATGTCCATACAGGACCAGGTCAGAGACACGCCCTGCTGTAGGGAGGTCCTCAACTAACACAATTCTTCTTCTGCTGGGGACATTACCTTACTTCTTGTTAAAACATTTCTGAAAAATAGCGTGCACAAATAAATGAAAGAAATGAGACACAGGTCATTTGCACAAAAGATCATGTCAAACCTCAATAACACTGTGTATGTATTCCTGGCGATCCAATAGGTGCAACTTGGTCATGTAACCGGTTAAGATGAGTACACTTTGATTAAAAACGAGGAAAGCAAACATCGTTCCCTCTTTTCAGTGCATTACTAGATTATTAAGCGTGGGGCTGCAAATATTATTTTTCTTTTGTCTGAAAAAAGTCTCTACACCACACAAAAAAAAGTGAAGCCCATGCAAATGTCTCGTTTACCAGAAATGAGCTTATTAATGTCTTTGAAATGAGTCATTCAGGAAGAACAAAACGCATAACATCGACAAATCAACTCAAGAAATCTTAATTTGCTAAGACCAAAACAACCATCGACTAAAAAAGAGCAGCTCTAGCAACAGGTTTCTTTAACATACTTTTTTATTTTTTAAATTAATGTTGAGGTTTGCATTCCAACGAATGTGGTCCAAGGGCCGGTTTGGAGTGCTTTATTGTGAACCACTTTTTAGTGTTCCCACTGCAGCAGCGCTGGTTCTTGGAACAGTAAATGGTGGGAGTAGAAAACTTCTGTTTCAGAAGCAGTAGCGCCAAGATTGCAAAATGGCTAGACACACATATAAACGTGGGGAAAAACATGAACCAGGCATAACTCTAACATATAACTTATTATTCCCCATACTTTGAATAACAACCAGTTTGCTAAATAATTGATCTGCCATACCTGTGCCTCGTTATTGTTCCATGACTTGGAATTTGATATATCGTTGGCTTTAAATCTTTTAATTGATAAGTCAGACTAGTTTTAGTTGCTAGGCAAACTTCATCCATGTAAGACAAGAGATACTTCACATTATACAATCCATTATCTATGTTGTCAAAGGTGACGTCATGACTTGGCTCCTCCCACCTCTGGTCAGTGGAAAAGCAAACTGGTTCTTTAGTGGTTTGCAAGTTGGACCACCTGTGAGCCGAACTAGCTGCAGCACAGAATTAGAACGGAACTCAAAATATATTTTATCCACTGCAATGACAATTTTTATTTGTTCCAGATGCGGTTTGTAAAGAATGTGACTGAGTGGAGAGAAATGAAGCCGGCCTTCTACCACGGACACGTCTCCTTCTTGGACTTCACAAAGTAAATACTTTGTCTTGAAATATAACAACAACAGTTAAAAACAGTGAATCAACCCTGCTGTGGTTTTGTGTAGGGTCTCCCCCTTGTGGTCATTCAAGTCTTTTATGGCTTTTTTTGTTCGTAAGGAATTAGAATTTACAAATCAGTCTAGGATTGACAAAAAAAACTACAATTAAAACCAATAAAAAGGAAATGTAATCTGTTGACGGCATAATAGAGCTGAAAGTATGCGAGGATTAGAATACAACTGGTGCTTTTTTACCTGAAACCCATTCTACTTTGGGTTGATAAACTTTCCATCATCTATTTAATATATATGACTTAAGTCTCCTAAACATTTTTAATTTCTCCATTAAGAAAAGGTTACGCCTCACATAAAATCAGTCTGCTAATGTCCTTGACTCCACCATTTTTGGAAATGACTTTTACTGGAGACCAGCGTTTTTCAACAAAAATATGCTTTGATGCTTCCTACCCAGGTACAAGAACTGTACATGAGTGACTCGCCCCATGTTAGCTTGAATTCTGGGGGGAAAGGTTGTCTTTTGCGTTCCCTTTACACAAAACAAAGAATCAAAAAATCTTCATGAATGAAAGTAAATGGAAGCCATCTTTAACATCAAAACATCGTTTACAACCTCTCACACAACCCATTCAGTATAAACCACGTCTAATTTATTCGTATGTCATATGCTAACTAAATGTATATGTAATAACAAATGTATTTTGACTAAAACGGCACTATTTAAAACACTTAATAAAAGAGTCACACTGGCACAGATGTCTACCCGTCTGGACGATTCCAAAGTGTACTCAGTAATGAGCCCATCACTTGATAAATGACACTTGGATAATAGCTCACAAGTTTGATACACTGCTGCTGTTAATTCCAACCCAATGTTACTTTAATTTATCAAATACATCTCAGCTTTTTTACCCTTAACTCAGTGTGGGGGTACGCGGGAAAGGGTTTTACTTTTAAAGGGGCCCTATTGTGCCTTTTCGGGTTTTGCCTCTCCTGTAGTGTGTTATATTGTTTTGTTTGCATGTAAACGGTCAGAACAGTCTAAAATCCCAAAGTTCCCCCCCGCCTGAAACACCTCCATTGGACTCCTTTGTTAACATCCTTAACATAGTGACATCACTACGTAACATTGGCTTTTATTAGCTTGCGCTCCAACTCTGGTTTCAGACAGAGGGTGAAAAGAGGTGCTGCAGCACATGAGAAACATAAAGAGCTTTTTGAACATTAAAGCATGGAAAAATGTCACAGTCGAGGCACTAAATATAAATATGAACCTGAAAACGAAAATAATAGGGCCCCTTTAAGACTGTACCATAACACAGGGTGAGCAATGTACATAATCATTTCAACTTTTTCTATCTCTGATAGTTTCTGAATAGTGGCTAATCACAAAACATTCCCGGAGAACATGGGATAGACTTTTCTCTCAGTCTCACAGCCTCTCTAACATGCTGTCTGCTTCAGTTGGTCTAATTCACAGTGTCGTGTATAAATATCTGAATGTACAGTAGCACTGATCCTCCGACCTCAGCAAAAATGGTGTTGAACTCTTAAATCTGCAAACTCTGGATCTTTATAAGTTAGCTTTATAGTTGGATCAGTCCTGTTGCATGTGTGTAATCCCTAATGTAAATGATTTCAGGTTTGGAGTGAAGAGGAAGCCCATCTACATAAACGTGATCCGGGACCCCATAGAGAGGCTGGTGTCGTATTACTACTTCCTGCGTTTTGGGGATGACTACAGGCCCGGCTTGAGGCGCAGGAAACAAGGAGACAAGAAGGTAAACATCCATACTCTTATTGTTTTGTTTCAAAAGATAGATTTACAACTTTCAATTGTTAATACTGACCAATTAAAATATCACGTTTCAATTTTTTGTGTGTTTTCTCTTGGTTTTTGCTTCAGACATTTGATGAATGTGTGTCAGCCGGCGGCTCAGACTGTGCCCCTGAGAAGCTCTGGCTGCAGATTCCCTTTTTCTGTGGTCACTACTCTGAATGCTGGTGAGTGTTCAAACATCAGTCTGAGTATAGTCTTGTTTTTAAAATGACAGAAATCATGCTTGGTTTTGCTTCTCTTTAGTTGTTTTCTGTTTGTCTGTCTGCTTATTTTTCATAAGGCTGGAGATAAACCAATTTTCTTTCTGATTGCAAGCTAAACCTTATTTCTATAGCACCTTTCTAACCAGGTTTTAGCATTGTGTGCTGAACAACCTGTGAGAAACCACGTTAGTTGAGTCCAAAATTATTTTAAAAAAACAAACAATTGTAATATAATATACGGCATGTGAGTCAAACCAATAAAAGAAGCATGTTAAAATAAAATAACAGTTTTATGTTTGATCAAATCCGATGATTCATGTTTCAACTTTTCTTCTCACGAGTGCACATCTCAAGTGTATAAATCCATGGCTGAAAATAGTCCCTAACATAGCATTCTGTAAAAATGAAACTTTATTCTTGGTGTTTTGAAATTCCCTAAGTTTGAAGGACTGGCCAAGGAGTCATGTGCCACAGATAAGCAAGTACATGGCTGTAGACACCAGGGGTGTTTTTCTTTACTTTCACAACAATATAAATGCTCTTACTGTTGTTATTGTCATAATGCTTTCACACAGAACAAATAATACGCTAAGACAATGGTCATTTGAGCGAGTGGTAAAATGCTGACAAATTCCCGGGTTTAGGGAGTCATTCCTGCACCACTTCATAATAAAACTTACAGTAGCTTAGGATATACAACAATTGACCTTTACTTACTTAGTTTTACCTAGAATTGAAAAGTCAAAATTTGCATCGCTGCCGGTTAAAATGGTTTTGATGAGAAATATTTGCAGGCAATGGTCACCTGAGGCAGATCAGATGCTTTATTAGTTTTCTTTCATTAGCAGCACATTAAACCTCATCGTCCTTCTCTATCACTTCTGCTCCCCTCATCCTCTCAAGGTCTCTGTAGCACTCTTAGCCTCCATCCTCCTCTCTCCATGATGATCTGTATCAATCTCTCTCTGCCCCGACTGATCCCTCTTAGCCTCTCTCATCTCTCCTTCACTCTGCCCTCTTACTTTTTACCATCCACACTCTTGACGCAGAGTGCCAACTGAAGGTCTTAAGATTGACTTCAGTCTGGTGCACTAACACCTACGGTGGCCGACCCGTGCAAACGCGCTACAACAACGCAAAATATACTGCACTTTCATAAACGATGCAAATCTAAAAACACAAATGTGCCAAAAACAAGCAAATGAAGAAACATCTTCACCAACTTTTAGAAAAAAATTCCAGAGCACTTGTTGCCTTTCGGGATTAGAAACGTGGCTAACTCGTAATTGTAAGTGTTTTGTCAGTATATTTGATATGACTACGTTAGCTAGCTTATGCCAATATTGGCATATTTTTAGGTAAAGTGTTAGGTAAGTATCCAGTGACAGTGATTGTTGGCCAACTTTGAAATGCCTGAACTTCACCAAGCGTTTCGGTCCCAGCTGTGTTGCCCCTTTCACACCAACGCGTTTTCAGCTCCGGCTCGGAGCTGGAGCCTGAAAAGTACCGTTTTTTCCTGTTCACACCGCAGCGGCGCCGCCTCTTAGCTCCGGAATCCGGTTCACTTCCAGCTCCAAAAAATTGTCGGTCTAGATTAGAGGCAAGAGCTTCAGAGCTAAGAGGCGGCGTCGCTTACGTCTCTCTTACGTCGAGGCGTGCAGGAAACTAAACCCTCCTCCCCTGAACATGGGTCGACTTAAGAGTCTCGTCATGCCTGCCTACAAGCAGTAGTGCTTATAAACACACTTTATAAAGTCAGGCAACACTAACCAGGCTTCGTGTGATTCTGTTTATTTGTGCCTTACTTTGACCATCCGTTCACTGTTATTGATCATTGTGGAGAGAGGCAGACGTTTTGTTTTGTATTATAGCAGCTATCGGATGGAATCAATACATGGGCTGCACAGGTTGTCGTGTCCGACTATCACAAGTAGAATCATAATGAAAAATACGCCGGTAAAATGTGCCTGTAGAAAACGGCGTATGCCACAATAGGATAGCAATAGCAAGTAGTCAGTTTAGCTTCGGCTGCTATGCTAACATCATCCATTTTATACCAGAGAAACTTTCATAACAGCGTTGTGATGCCAAATAGCGTCAATTCAGACTGACACACACTCACTTAAGGGGAACTGGGGATATGTATCAGCTGCTTGTGTGACAGTCAGACAGTGAATACTTTAGAGAGGCCGCTGCAGTGTAAGCTAACCGGGAGCTAACAGGAGAATAAACTCCCGTGGAAGAGCAGCCAGCACTGCAGCGGTCGGTAAATGCCGCTAAGACACATTAATAAACAATGAACCACGGCACTCTGGAGAAAAGCATAAGGTTGGAGAAGTCTTGTGATTAAAAGCAACACGATCATCGACCCGACGCAGTCCCCCATTGTTGTTGTTGTTGTGACCCCCGTAACGCCGTTGGGGAGCAAATCAGCGATGTAAACGGTGACNGTTTACTACTACTCATTCGATTTGATAGATAATTAATCAGTACGGGCAGGGGGAGGATAGGGGGGAGGGGGGAGGGGGGGTGAGGGGGGGGATAATGTCCTCCACACTTAACATGACTAGTATCAGCGCACATCGGACCAGAACAAAAGGTTTTACCGCTGATGTTAACGATCGTAAGTGAAAGGCTGCCTGCCAAACGTAAACATTCAGCCAAACTCTCGCGAGAGTTTTACACAAGACGGATCCTTTCTAGCCATAACCCTGCGGACACAGTCCCCCATTGTTGTTGTTGTGACCGCCGTAACGCCGTTGGGGAGCAAATCAGCGATGTAAACGGTGACGTCATGACGCAGCAGCGGCAGCTCTGGGCGGTGTGAACAGAGCGGAAGCAGAAAAGGGAAACCGGAGCTGAACCAGAAAAGCTCCTGCTCGGAGCTAGAAAGGGAAAAGCGCTGGTGTGAAAGCCGCATGTGCGTCACTTTGAAGTTTCCCCGTTTCCGTTGTGTTTTGAGCTTCTTGCAGTGTTTTGTATTTGCAGCTTTTGGTTTATGCAGCTTAGTAAACGTTGCACATGATTCATCAAGTTCGTGAATGTTTCTAAATGCTGCGCATTTGTTATCAAGTTGGTGAAGATGTTTCTTCATTTGCGTTTTGGCACATTTGTGTTTTTATTTATGCATCGTTTCTGAAGGTGGAGCACAGTTTTTCTAATGGAAGTGTTTTGGGCAATTGTAGCGCGTTAGCACCTGTCGGCCCCCGTTAAAAGAAGCACAAAGCCCCTTGGAAACATGAAATAAACACTAAAGATCTAAATGTCCTGTAATGCTGTGTTTAACTAGGCTCTGCCAAACAGTCACTTTATAGGTTTAAACAATGGACTTCCTTCCCTATCATTTCATTTCCTGACTAGGACAACACCTGCCGCAGATTCATTTATTTTCCACTCCTTCCCGTCTTTCTCCTCTGTCTTCTGCTCCTCTCACTTCATTCTTTTTCCTCTCACTGTTTTTTCTTTCAGTTCACTAGGGCTGCAGTGAATATTTGGAAACGTTGAAGCTTTATTCATAACTCTGACGATCAAATTCTTAATCAACATTCAAAATCGTTTTCAGTTATTTTATTTTGCATCTCTATTTATTTTACACCAAGGCAAATTCCTTGTGTGTGTAAACCTACTTGGCAATAAACCTGATTCTGATATTATACTGTTTGTAGAATAAGATTCAGTGCTGCTGACTAAGATTTGTGTATGTAACCCTAACCCAAATGTAAATACAAATAAAAATACACTGCAAAATAATTCTTCAACCCATATATTTTGCAGTTTTTAGCCTTTCAAAAACAACATTTTCACTGCAGTCCAAAAAGCTGTTTGCTCTCCTGCTTCCCGGATAAAAGGAACGACACACTGATTCATATTTTTTTAAAACATTTCATTGTAATAAAAAAGAAAAGGCTAACCCGTTTATTATGATATATCATTATCTTAAAATGATGGAATTTAAAAAATGTATTCTAAGCTGTTGATGTCACAAAATATCACAGACATTCAAAGCTTCATTTTAAATCCTCAATAGAAGCTTTGAATGTGAAAAAAAAGCATTCACTTTTCCTCCCACACTCTCTCTGTCCTTTACAAACCTTGTAATCATTTCAGCAGAATACAAAGCATCTAACCACATACAAACAACATGATGTTTTCAGGAATGTGGGCAGCCAGTGGGCTCTGGAGCAGGCCAAGTACAACCTGGTGAACGAGTACCTGCTGGTGGGAGTCACAGAGGAGCTGGAGGACTTTGTGATGATGCTGGAGGCTGCGCTGCCACGCTTCTTCAAAGGAGCCACGGAGCTCTACAAAACAGGTGCCATGTCTGATAAAGACCTAAAAACATTCGCTATCATAAGCATGTTTTTTTTTCCCTCCCCCAATATTATAATACTCTTAAGAGCTTACTCACATTGCAGTCCTACAGTGTGCTGTGGTTGCATTTGTGCAGTCTGAATTGGCCCTCTGAGAATTGAATCGTGATCAATATGCACTCATGCCTCTCGCTGATGTAGTTACAGATTAGTTAGAGCGAGTGCAGCCAGAATGAATAATGGAGAGCACAGAGGAATTAAATGTGACAGTGATATAGAGGTGCTATGAAGTATGATGTTCGTCTTTTTTAGATACACTAAAGTACTCAAGTTAATCAGGGATTTATTATTTTATTCGTTGAAAGTCTAAATCTGTTGTTATGAAGTCATGCAGTCCTGTTTCCTAACCACAGACTAAAAAAACAACTCTTTGTATTCTGAATTTAGCTTTTCTGAGGTATAGCTTGTATGACTATGAGTTAAAGGGGCCCTAGTGTAGGAGAGAAAGGAACACAGGGATTTTAGCCTTTGCAGACCATTTACATGCGCTAAAACCTATAGAACACACTACAGGAAAGGGAAACTCCAAAAAGCAAGAAAGAGCCCCTTTAAAGATGGGCCCTAAAAAATATATAGAACAGATTGGACAGATTTGAAAGATCTGCCCTTGGATTGAGTTATTTTGTAACTTCGCCTGCACCGAGCCATTCGTTTGAATTTAAGTGTAAATGCAAGATATAGCTTGTAACTCAAAGTATCCTGTACCAATTTTTTACCCCATTATCCAATCCTTGAATTTTGCATGTTTCGGCCCAATTTTAATATGAGCAGTTATGAGCAAAAACACAATGCTATGTCAGACGCCTGTTTTCTGTGGGTTACCAATGACCCTCCTTGGTTGTAGATACTTTTGACACCTGTAAATAGAGCCAATAATTTTTTGAAACCTTTTTCAAAATCCTTTATTTGTCCTTGATCGAGGAACTCTACGGCTCTACAGCAGCAAAAGTACAGTGAGTTGAAAGGCAAAAGAAAAAAGAGTATACTTGCATATCAGATAAAAAGATAAGCAGACGTTAGTAAGAATATAAACGAATAGCTAAAAAAACGAATAAGTACTACACGGTAAAAAATAAGTAGCAGAATTCAGAAAAAGTAAGGTAACATATACAAGTACTGACTGATCCTGTAACACTAACACATTGTAAATAGATTGTTGACAAGGTATACATTGCAGGCAAGTGTTTTTTGCACATGAGCAGTGGAAGGGAAAAACTACTGCAAAATAAAAGTAATGCTGAATGACTTGCTGCACGTACCTGCACCACTTTAATCCTCCTCTCCTCTGTAATCCTCACAGGGAAGAAATCCCACCTGAGGAAGACGAGCGAGAAGAAGCCGCCCACGAAGGAGTCCATCGCCAAGCTGCAGCAGTCGGCCATCTGGAAGATGGAGAACGATTTCTACGAATTTGCACTGGAGCAGTTCCAGTTTGTCCGGGCACATGCTGTCAGGGAAAAGGACGGGGAGCTCTACCTGCTGGCACAGAACTTCTTCTACGAGAAGATCTACCCCAAAAACTGAAGAGTAGACGGACACATGGCAGATGTGCGGCCTGAGAGGAAAAAGGACACATAAAGACTACGTGTGGCTGTCTGTAGAACATTGTATTGACAGCTCTGACACGTCTGTGCCAGCCAACTGGACTCGTGTTTCATCAGCAGGTTTTTTTTCCCAGCAGCCTCCACTCCCCCTCATGTCAAAGGTGGTCTGACGCGTCCGGAGACGGCCTGTCCAGCTCCGAAACATTGTCATCGGCTCTGTAATGTTTGGTTGTTTTTGGTTGTGTTTTAAGTCTTTGCTAAGGTTGTCTTTTGTATGTAAAGATGGTGACATTCTCCATGCCTCACCACTACTACTAACTTAAAGAGATTTGAAGTGTACGACTACTGTGCTGTATTATTGGACTTGAATGAGAATGTTTGAGGTTTTTATGAAATAAAAATCCTGTGACCATGGACTATTTACTGGGACACATACGTATGTTTTATACTATACTTGATGCTGGGTGTAAATGTTCAGAGGCCTTTCCTCCGTAATGAAGAATATTATCGAGTGTACAAAAACACCTAGGTGAAGATGCTGCTGCTGTAAATACTTACTACTTTTCTCAGTCCTATTCATCTACTGACAGTTTTTCCATGGTATGAAATCAAAACTGTTAACCATATTAAAATTACAGTTTGTACATTTCTCTCAAATTCTAAATTCAAGACTGCTTTTTGTTTTGTCATTTTCATTGTAGAACCAGTTAAACATCTGCGTCCACTTAGGCTGTAACTACTTTCATTATTTTTTTATCTGCTGATTATTTTCAGAATTTATCAATTCAATGTTTGTTCTTTAACATTTCAAAACATAGTGAAAAATGTCCATCCCATTTTTTGTAAGTCCAAAGTGATGCCAGTAGACTTAGCAATCAGTCGACTGGTGTGTTGTTATTGCTCCATTAGTGTCCACCTGTATGTTAGTCTGACTCTTTAATATGCTGACATTTTGGGAAATGTGTTTTTTTGTTTTGTTTAAATTAAACATTAAATTAAATGTGTGAGGCTACAGGCTTTATGCTAAGCTAACCCTGCTACAGCATCAATACTCTCATCTTACTTCATAAATAGATGCAAGTTTCCACATATAATATGGTGGAACGGTTGGTACTTTATTTATTTATTTCTTCTCTGAAGGTTGGATTTATTGCTGTTTTACTGAAAAAGATTAGGGCCACATGTGAAAAAAAAACACATGGCGGTTTTCATCTTTTAATTGCCATCCTAACAATATATGCTAACACTGCCAGAGATGCAGGTGTGTTTTTTATGAAATATTTATCATTTTCACAGCAGTAGAGGTAAAGACAAATAAAGCTGCTGTGGAAATGGAAGCTGGATTGTTTCAGCGCTGGTATCCTGCAGGGGGAGATAAAGAGCTGCGCTGTGTGTGCGTGTGCGTGTGCGTGTGTGTGTGTGTTCTTCACCATTTTCATTAGCCTTTTTAATTTCTGATATGGTGATTAAAATAAGATAAATGTGGAGTCATACTTAATTACAATTTAAAGAAGGATGCCAACCTGAGTATATACATCCCACATGGTTTTATTATGGAAGTCACTACACAGTACTTCGTTCATTACTTTGGAGCCTCAGAGTGTAGCTGTCCAGAAGGACTCAACACTAACCAAAATCAGAGATTCACACTGCTGTATGAAAAATGTGTATTGTACCTTTTTATTTTTCCCCCCACAACTTTCTTAATTGAAACTTATAAGTCAATCAAGGAACAACAGTTTGGTTATACATTAAAAAGCTTATTTCTGGACATGTAATTATGAATACATATATTCAGTAAAAAACTAACAATAATACAAATAATTTAAAATATAGATATGAACAGAATTGAAATAAATGACTGTAAGGTCATGACTAGTTGGCTTTTACAGCCTCATTGTATATTATATTAATGTAAGTATCATAAACGTGTGTTTGTCACAGAGTATATTTTTTTGCAATATTCCAAAATCCATTGGCTTTTCGTCAAGGGAGCCATTGCAATCCTAGTTTACGGGATCGGGCAACACAAATACGGCCTCGCTAAATCTTAATGTCACAGGATTTAGTGTAAAACGGGACTTAAAACAGAACTCCAAATTGTTTGGGTCTCATAGGCCTCCGTGCACTAGGATTCCTCTTATTCTTACAACCTTGTGGGATAATACGTCCCTGCCCAATAAAACTCAGTAATCATCTCATTCATCGCAGCAATAATCATTAGGTTTATTACAGGTCATAACACTCCCACAAATCAATATAGTGTTCATTCAACTAACAGCCGGAGAAATACAGAATACACATACATGTGTCTTTCTGATGAAGGCAGACATTAACCAAACGAAAGAGCCCTAATATAGAGCAGCATTACACCGTCCACATCATATCTGTTTTTTACCCCCACACCACTGCAACCATAACTCTAGGTTGTGTTTTGCTGATAGTCCATATTGATCCAATCATGAAAGACAAAAGCATCACGACTTCTGGGGAGTGTCACTGTGTGGGGATTTTAACAGGAGAATATCATTCATAAGTCTGCCCAACAAGGGCTCTGCTATTTTTATAATGTGGACAATGCTGAGTTTATGAGTGCGGAACCTGCGTCGTTGTCCCTCGCCAGTAAATATTTGAGACATGAGCCCAGAGAGAGCCCAGTCTCTGAGACGTATGGTTTGTGATGACTGTGTCCCTGAAGGTTATGTAATGCAGCAGTAAGACTTCTCACTGGGCTGTGACATGTCTGACCCGGCCCCACTGAGGAGGCTTCAGTGTTTGTCCTGTGGTTTCTTCACAGCAGCTCCTTCTCATCTATCTGGCTCAGCAACTCAAAGTAAACTGTGACTTGTTAAGTATTTAATAAAGCTGCTGTGGTTTTCATTGCACCTCAGGATGTCAGCAATTTGTGACAGCATCTGCATTATCCTTTGGATTTAAGTATTATTTGTTGATCAATATTAAATAGATGACTGTCTGAAGTTCTTTATGGAATTAAAAGGAGTGCCATCAAAAGAAAACATCTTTAAAACAATAATTTAAAAATGTGGAAATATAAAGAAAAAACAAATATGAATAACATAATAAAAATAATTTAAATAATAAAATAACAACATGTTGGAATATAGAAAGAAAAAGCCACATGGGTTTTCCCGATTACTTTAGTTTAGTTTTTATAAGGATAAGGAAAAAGAAAGGAATTAAATTAAATGTATGAAAAACAATAATACATTTCATAAATATAGAATAAAATAACTATTCAAAAGAAAATTAATTAGTTATGTATCACTTATGATTGAGCACTTTTTTTTATACATGTATCCTCACTTTTCTACTCTACTTTTTTATTAAATTAAGGGATGTAAATACTTATTCTCCTTTCACCTCTAATAGTCTGAAAAACAGTGTAAGTCTTAGTTTTGTGCATTTCATAATGCATTATGCATAACATTTATGAAATGCACAAAACTAAAATAACTTATTTTACATCTGCAATGCGTTTGTGCGTTTTTTTAATTAATTTTGTTTACATTTAAACTCCAAAATGAATCATTCTGACCAAGTATCCCTGTTTTTCCATGTGTGTGTTTATCCCGGGATGAGTCTGAGCATGAGGTAAGGCCAGCCTGTAAGCAGTGTGGATCACGTGTGTAGCTGTCCGGGCTGGAGCAGCAGCGGCGGCACTGCAGCTCCTCTGGGCGGACTCTCCTCTCTAACCACCGCCTCTTTCTCCAACTGCACTGGGACAGATTTATGCCTCAGCTTTTTTATTTATGAACACCAGTCCACCCTCCGCCTTCAGGACGGTGTGACTGCGTCAATGAAGTGTGAAGACGACATGGGAAGGACCGTGTACCCGAGATGACCGAGGATTTGGTCCGAATAATCTTTTTGTCGCCAGAGAGGGAAACTTAAAACAAGGCTTGTTTTTGGACTTCCACCTCCCCTCCTCTCTCCCCGTAGGATTTGATTCAAAGGCGAAAACCAAGATGGCCGCCGACTCCGTGCAGGTAGGAAAAGTTGACAACTGTTGCGAAAAGTGCGCAAACTTGCTCCAGAGGTTAAACTAAAAGCTAGATAACTGTTTTATTTATCTAAAGTTGAGTCGCTGTGTGGCGGGAAATTTGTGTTAAAGTGTAGGGCCTGTGCTAGCCCCTAAAGGGGTGTCTGGGAATTATCCATGGATTGAGGCCTGGGAAACAATTATCCAAAGTTACTTTTCCTGAAATATTAAAGTTGTTAAACCGGTACTTTTGTGCGGAAGCAGCTGTGTTAATTAACGCTATGGCAATTGTTGTAAACCGTGTTAATGTTGCTGTAGCGGTGAGTTAAATAATGGTTGTTGGACGTTTACTAACAGCTATGTAGCCTGACGTTAGGTTAACCTGCGTTACTTTAAGATAAAACAGTTTCCTCCGTGTATTAACAAAGTGTTAGGACCACCGGTAACGATATATTTTCAATTTTTAATAAGATGCAGCGTAGTACAGTTAAAATGTTCCAGCTTTTCCAAAGACAAAGTCTTCACTGTTTTCTTGACGTAAAGTTGTTGAAACACGTTACAGACTATGCATTTACTAATAAGCTTAGGCTACAGTGTAAAATAAGTCTGAACATCTCTATTTTAAAATGTTAATTTATTAAAACTGCATATTAGAATAACAGTCATGCCTCATATTCTATGACTCACTGTTTAATGTGGTTTCACTTGAGTGACGTCAGATTTGAAATAAGTCTTTCTGACACAAACATAGTCCAAAGCAACTGACATGACAACTCCTCCACAACTTGAGCTTGTCAAGTTTGGACTGCTGTCAAGCATTAGCTTTAGCAACAACCTCTAGTTACTGAATGCATATCAAAGCTAGAACTAGGCTTATTGCTCACACACTATTATTCATATTTACAGGGAGTATTGGAGTGAAAGTAGTTGCAGTAGTTACAGCAGATATCTAACACAGCAAGCTAACACTTTTAAGAAGTATTAGTTGAAATCTATCTTATTATTTGTATTCTCTAGTAGTAATGACCTGTTGCCACATCAGTGAAGCCTTTACTTGGCCAGATTAATCATAAGGCTTATCATTCTAACTGGGTGTTTGCTCTGTTCAAACCACTTATTAGTAATAACCTGCCTGGAAAGCTTAAAACGACATTTGGCACATAAGCTAACTCGTATTACATTGAGGTAGAATCTCAAATGTTTTTTAATGTGCACTTTCCCTGCTAAATAAATAAATGCTTTATTGGTGATATACATAGGTAAACCACCCTGATTGACAATACGTTCTGTTCTGGGTTGGTACAATTTAATTAACCACAGTAGACCATATAAAACTGTCTGATAACGGTAAGCTAATGGCAAAGCAGATGCAGGCTAGTCCAGTGGTTCACAAACTTTTTCATGTCAAGGAACATTAAACTGACACAAATGTAACCACTGATCCCCACTTGAATTTTATTACAGAAAGTGTATGATACCTGTGACCTTTTTATAGTATAAACTCTATCATTGTGCTAAGTTTTGATTGCGCTAAAGAAAAAATAAGTTATTCCCCTTTTTGCTTGGGCCCACGTTGAAAACCACTGGGCTGGACCGCCTGTTTCATTACAGGTAACGAAGGACATAAAGGGAGAAAAGTGTCTTTTTATTTGGGATT